TCGAACCTAGAACCCTCAGTTCTCGTGTCTTATTTATTTATTTATTTCAACACATAAATATTGGTACAAGAGGGCACCAAATATATATGCGCCACACCATATTTGTGTGTGTGTGGGCTGTGATACTGCCCGGGTGCCCAGACCGAAGCAGGTGGTTTTCTTAAGGGGCCACACCCCGAGCCCTTGACTTAAAGGTATGATCCACAAGGCAGTGGAGCATCGTGAGGAGATGCATTCCCATGGTAGCCGGCGACCGAAAATTGGTTCATATGCCATTTGTTCCCGCAGGATACTGGAGCCCATGTGCACCATTGGTTTGGGATCCGGTTAAAGCGCAGGACATTCGCTTTTCATCCTCTCATTTTCGTAAACAACACCCGTGATGCGAGAAGGCAGTGAGTAGGACTTCCATGGAAGAGGCTGTATACGCGTGGCCGTGTGAGAGCATTTCGAGAGGGAGGGCAAACCCACCCCACTCTCGGCCATACCAGGGTATCTAACTAAAGTCAATACATAATTTGAAGTTTCATATTACTTGCATTTTCCAGTTGATTTAATAATAGTAAGACTGTTTTGTATTTATTACTTTCATTAAAAATTAGACACTATATCAGTATCATGAATCCTGATTTCACATGTTTCTTCACTTTCATAGCTATTGGTCATAGGAGTAGAGGATCAAAAAGTCAAAAACAAACACAACAACAACAACAATACTTCACATATCCTTCAGCTCGATATTCATCTGGACATAGACCACCATTATGTCAAAATGGACATTTCCCTTTCGAATTAGATCCAAGAGAATATTCGTCCACTAATCAATCTCAGGAAGAAATTAACGAATCTTAAGAATTATTTACTCAATAGACAATATTTTACAAAAACCTTTGTGCCTCTTTGTTTTTTTTTTAGAACTAAACGATTTTAATTAGATTCGGTTTCTTAATTTTTAACACTTTTAATCTGTATGAAATGTCCACTTCTTGTAAATAAATTCCTTCTCTTTTTTCTAAATGGTTAATTCTACTCATCTGCAACTATATATTCGCTAACTTCTTGTCTATTCCTTACACGTAACATTGTACAGATTAATATTATTATAGTGTGTATAGCAATACTATTCATACTGCTTTAGATAATATTCTGAGGATGATATATATGCTAACTAACTAAACTAACAACCATTTGTGTTTGTATCATTGTGTAGTAGGTATACTCAGTCCTAAATCTCTCACCTTTTTTTACAAAAAGGAAAATAATAATGCCAATCCACTTGTTCGTTTATTTATTGTCAGTTCTTCTAAACGAATCCATATTCAAACTGGGAAGTTGTCGTGATTAGGAAAATTATGACAAATAGCCCTGATTCTATTTTCTTGTATAGGTATCATTGAGTGATATTAGTGTGGACAGAATTAGCTTTCTAGTGTTTCTTGATCAGAACTTGTTGTTATTACTGTCTTTACACTGAATATCAGGAGTTTGTGTATCTGTCAATATCAGAGTAATTTGTTTTCTGTTTATGTAAGGAGTTAGATATTTTAAAGTCTCTTATGCCAAAAATCATAAAGTGCTTAGGAAGCATCTGTATTCAATGATACATACAAATCGGTAAACCTAAGAGCGTCATCTTTACAGCCTTCGAGATGAACTAAAGGATAAGTTTTACAGAAAGCTTTCTCTTCTACCACAGAACGTTAAGCCCCCTCAAGTCTTTATTGTAGCAGGCGGTTTTAGCACTCAAGTAGATAGTTTAAATCAGGGTAAAAGATGCCCAGGTAGCTCTTACAGTGTCCTAGCTCGACGAACAGAAAACGGAAACCTTGTACAGCGATTAAACATAGACAAGTTTATTCTTGCCAAGCAATAACATTTAGAGTAAGGGAAGATATCGACTAACACGATGACCCTCAATACCGACCCAACTATAGACCCAGATAAACCTCACTTCCATTAGCCATCGTTGGTGGCAGAAGACTCCCGTCTACTCTGGGGTACATAATTCGGTTTCGATCATACTCTAGTGCGAGTGTGTTCGTCTGGTTGCAGAAAAACCATGACAAGAATCTCAGGAGTGTATTTCAAGAACTAGAGACAGTCTGTTTATCGAAATGATCCGCTCAACCTGAAAGACTGGGACTATGGGTTGAATACTGAAGGATAGCTTAAGTGGTCTCCAACTACCTTCCTGTTCCCTACTGTTACTAAACAACCTAGTCTGAACAACTGCCCATTCGCGCATGAAGTTGAAAAATCCACAAGATGTCACAACCCGGAAACCACCGGTCCACGATTTACTTCCGGAGACGGTTGTCCGGTTTTAGCAGGTAGACTGATACTACTCAAAACCAGGAAAATAAGCACAATCCCACTCGACTAATCTTGATCGCCTCTATTTACAAGATAAGAATCCCACTGAGATAATCACACAGGAATCAGTTTACCCAATCGTGTCTACAATATTAGCCTCATTAATGACGCAGCGCTCAAATAGGGCTCATCAATAGAACAAAAAAAGTTGATTTTAGACTCAAAAATCGAGACCAAACATTCGCCCTTTCTCAGGTCCTGGAACACAGACATAACCATTGCCAAACAGCCACACCTGTGTTTACCGAACCGAAGACGTTTAGGTATTTAGGTCGACAGGTTTTACGTCAATTCCTGTCATTAAAAAGCGTAACAAGAAAGTCCACTAACCTTGCGCATGCTCTACTCGAACACCAGTAATCAAATCAGAGCTCATCGTAAACCGTCATTGGACTTGACGAATTCAATCGGTGTTCGTCAAACTTGTTAATGTTCCCTATCTCAATCCAAGTTTACTGCAAATTTGCTTTTAGAAGTACCACATTTATCATCCATATCAGGAATCGATCTCCTACCAGGAGGTCCACTCGTTGACTCCGAATACACAGACGAGATAGTTCTGGTCGCTACAAGCAACAAAGGGAACAGATCTGGTACGCATTTCTCTCCCTTCAAATGCAAAATTTTGCTTCGAGACAGGTTTTATGACGAAACCCACTTCCCATTTTGACGCAGAATGATGGGGGTAGTAGGCTGGAATAAGGCTAGGGGTGATTAAGCCTTGCGTTACATTAATGCATGGAGACAGACTACGGGACTGAGTTATGTCAGTAGGTATAGACTATCTGGTTTTGACATACGCAATTATTGTAAGCAATGATGCGACTATCTGTCATGGATGAGTCATCCACATTGATGCATGTAAACTTCTACCATTCAGTTCGGAAGTTCTTATTTCCCTTATATACACCAGTTATCATAACTTCGTATTTCAACCGTATTCGATGCTTTTCTTTTACTATTACCACTGCTTGTACACGGGAATGCGCCCCGATAATTTCATATCACTTGTCTAGTGAGGTGTGATGGTTTGGACCGATTTACAGAAGCGGCAGGCTGTATATAAAACTTGAATATTGGATACGCTTACATCAACGTAAATGTATGACATCGGTCGGAGTAGCACATAACTATATCACAATAAATCTAAGCGGCGATTATTTAGAAGTGGTGAATCTCAACATTTGGATCAGATGCAACTGGAAATATTGAACTTACTCTTGCAAAATTATAAATTAATCGGTCTCTTTTCCAGTTCATAAATATTAGGCGACTAGATATTGAAATAAAAAGATGTGATGACGTCAAGCGACATATATTAAGTCAAATACTGTTTAAATTACAATTTAGGGCTTTAGTGCTCGCAGATGTAAATAAAAAACGGTAATTGCTAGGGTGCTTATAGTAATCTATTCTTGATTTAATAATAATACGAAAGCAGTACAACGACTACGTAGTGGAATGTACTGAGCATCATATATGCAACCATTCGGGTAAGATGTTTTTACTCTAAGGCCAAACAATAAACAACTTATCCAATGTCTTTTATTAAGTGGAAAACATTAATGGTAGAAAAAAATTAACAAAACACAATCGCACACGGAGATAAGGACTAAAAATAAAGTCAACACAACGAATTATACACATGAATCCTATTCGTTACTGCTAGAGGCATTCTAATATTGAATCTATTCTATAGATTATATCAGCTTTCTTAGAACATAAATCGTCATTTGAGGACTGATATTGTGGTTTTGTCAACTTGCCAGTGAGGAGTTTTTCTGCCAGTTGGATACCTTCTTGAACTAGATCACGATATTGTTGATCCAAATGGTTGATGTCGTTCAACTAGAAAAATAAATATGACCGTTTTAATCTCTAACTTGAAATCCAGATATAAGAAGTAACTCAATAATATAACTATTGAGTTAACTTTTGGTGAATAATTAATAATTTATTTACCAAAAAATAGCATATTGCAGCATTGGGAAATATCATCGTTAACAAAGACATAAACAAATCCGTTAGCTGAAGATGCTATACCACATCAACAAAACGTGAAACTAACAAGTTGAAATAATGAGTATTTATGATAATGAGGAAAATTAAGCATTGGTGAATACTTTTTGTAGAAGGTATGAACTTGATGCATAGAATGTACGGATAAGTCGAAACACCCTACTCCTAATACTTAAACAAAATCACTGAATAGAAGCAAAATGGGACTACTTAGTACTTTACGGATGTGGAATAGATAATAAACATTCCTAACTCTATTTGGCGTGATGAGTTCGAGGATGAGACTAGTTGGGAACAGTGAAAGTGGTCAGTGTATGATTTTGTGTCGTGATATGGAAAAAAGCTGTACACGATTGGTATTTGTCGGTCCTTCATGAATTCCTGGTTGGGATCCTAAAGACAGAGTATCACAGTGGTTTCAGATGTTATCAGACATGATTAAGAATAGGAGCCAGAGATGATCCTAATGTAATTTTCTCTTACTCTCTTTATACGAGTAACTTTTTGTTATAATCTCTTTCTCCTTACGGTTATGACCCAACTATTCCTATTGCTTAGTATTCTCGGACACCGATTCACTCGACAAGTCCCCAAATCAGAACACGGTTGAACAGGAAAGAGATTATATTCCAAATAGCAAGTCAGAAGCCAGTAGGAAGCACAATAGGGAAAAACGTCAGTATATTTATAGTTTTTACATAAGAAGATTCCAGAGTATTCTCCAACTATCGGCTAGTGCTGATTGGATAAGAATTAGCCAATCAGCGTGCACCAAAGCAATCATGCATTGAGCATGCTTTAATCTAGTCTATGTCCCGCTAACACCTCCCCTCTGAGCAGATTCGTAGGATCTGGTGCTAGGGTCCAACTGCAACTGAGTGACTGGCTTGTGCTTCCGATTAGTCCATCGTCTAGGCAATGAAGAATTATCACTTTTTCCTTGCACAGAGACTGACATGTCTGTTCCCGGCGTTTTGATTTTTCTTTTAAAAAAAAAGTATGCATAACTTTTAATTCTCCAACATTCTCCTCCTCCGCGGAACAATGTCGGATCCTTATGTCTCCAAGTTACAAATAATAGGACTTTATTTAAACGATGTTTCTTACATTGAATGTCGTATCCACTAGGAATGACTAGATGATAATGAACGACCTTTGATTTGAGGTCAGGGTTTAATTCTTCTGAAGCATTACTTTCAAATCCATTAGAAATTTCATCAGTGGATAATGGATCATTACAGAAATCAACATCTAACAAAATTAATTTAGACTTTTGACCATAATTTGACTCAGCTGATATATTTTCCTGATTTTTATGAGAAATTTCATCAAAATAACATGCATTGTTCTGAGAACCCATGTCTGATACATTGTCATTAGAAATCGGATAAGCTGATTCAATATAAGTTTCTGTCTCACAATGATTTTGAGTAACATTCGGTATAATTGGGTTCGTTGTGTCACTGCAGTTATTTTCTGAATACGAGTCCCCATAGCTTTCTTGGTTAATATCACGTGGACCATAAATTTGTTCCAGCTGAAAGTTATTTTCAGAGCTAGACAGGACCAGTAGTGCTTCATTCAATTCTGGACTCCGGGCTTCATCTACAGGGTCTGGCTCTTGATAATCTCGTATTGCCACAACTTTATGAGCATTCAGCACAGGATTTTCTTGCTGTGAGCCGGACACGTTACAAATATTACGTTCTGATTCAGGTATAAAGGGATTTGAACCCTCCACTAGATATGCTTCTGAAATGTCTGTTACTGCATCATAAACAGATTTCTTATTTTCTGGTCGCGTGAAAAGTGTGCTCAATAGTTGTTGTTGCAAGGCTAACAACTTCTGCTGGTGCTGTAATATTAACCGCAACTGTTCTAAAGAAATCGCCATTTTTCTTTAGCTTTTCCCCGTCGCCACTGTTATAACTCTGTTTTCTTACGGTTATGACCCAACTATTCCTATTGCTTAGTATTCTCGGACACCGATTCACTCGACAAGTCCCCAAATCAGAACACGGTTGAACAGGAAAGAGATTATATTCCAAATAGCAAGTCAGAAGCCAGTAGGAAGCACAATAGGGAAAAACGTCAGTATATTTATAGTTTTTACATAAGAAGATTCCAGAGTATTCTCCAACTATCGGCTAGTGCTGATTGGATAAGAATTAGCCAATCAGCGTGCACCAAAGCAATCATGCATTGAGCATGCTTTAATCTAGCCTATGTCCCGCTAACACTTTTTTAACTGAAACGATTCTTCTTGATTGCATTTTTCTTAACCGAACTACACTAATTATTCTTCAATCTCACTCAATTACATATATTAATTGTTTGCGGCTTTTGTACAGATCTTTCTCTATCTCTTCATAATCTCATTTTTTGTGTTGCCCATATATACTTCGGATATCCTTTTGCACCAACATTTGTCTAAACAAGTATCATATGCAGTGAAGAACACCCAAGATTATGTACATGACAAATCTCACCGTTCGTCGGCTTGATTATGTAGTGCATGGACTAATGTAACACAATTTAGTGACTATGTGTCGAATAAATGACCAAACAAAGTGAAAATCCAGTCATACTCCATTACACATTTGAAGTTTGAGTAAGTCAAGTGTTAAACTTTAAGGTAAGAATATTAACTGAAAACAAAAATTTATACTAAGAAGCCTACTTTATCTACTCCGTCCGGATATAAATCTCCTATTTTATTCTGAACTGACATCAACTGTTGATTTAGACTTTTATATTCCGCTTCTAATTTACGGCGATCAGTTGTGAATTGTGCGCTATCTTTAGATCCTTTATATTTTGTCAGGGCATCTTCATAACATTGATACAAAGAAGAACGACATCTTAGCAAGGCTTGAGTTTCATCTACTAGCGTTTGTATTCGAAGGCGAAGTTCATTTTTTTCATCCTTCGGTAAAATAGAAAAAGGTTCATTAAAATAAAATTGCATTCAAGATAGTCAAGTAAATACTCAACCAGAAACACTAGATTTCTATACATATTGAAATTTCAAGGATCACATATTAGTCAGCGGGGAATTTGTGCAGTGAGAAAAACATTCGTGAAGAGTAAGTCCCAACAAATTAAGTAGTAAACCTTGAGAATTGTGACTATCAGCTAATCAGTTCCTAACTTACAGATTTGAGAAGTCTGATGGACTTACCAACCCACCAAAATATCTTAGATACATTTAAAGTGCATTTGAGACTCATCTAATAAGCACAAATGGATTTCTATATACCTTTTAGATATAGAAAACAGAATAGGTGTTTATTGGTTTTACTCATAATTCGTAAAAATATTTCAGCCAAAGCGACAACGGGAACATATACCAATAAGGTAGCCAAATTCAGGTTCAGCTAATAGCTGAGAATTATAAAAAAGGCGATGAAGAGTGTGTACAACCACAAGTCAACACATGAATACGAAACTACGAATTGCTTTTTGATCAATAGACCATGGCTTTAGGTGATGAATAGTGACAATGGAAAATACTGGCAATCACAGTTTAAATGACGATGAGACAAAATACAGGTACAAAGACAACTAGTCAGTTCAAGAGAACAATGCATAAATTTAATGGTATTGGACCTAAACAAACTGTATTGTTGATCAGTAGGTCTAAACTTTAGTGGTTGACTTATCTTGCTGTTGGGATTTTGTCGGAAATTTGGTTAGTTATAGTTATAACCGCTATATAAGGGCAATCTGCATAGGATGCAAAACCGTTTAATAAAATTGAGTCGCATACTTTTTATCAGGTGTCCATCTGGACTCAGTAACTAAGAGGATAACACGATGAAGTTCGAGGCGAACGCTACTAGATTCGCGTTCAGGAGTGAAGATCAACTGTAAAACGCAAGTACATCCAACCGACCAGTCCTAAACAGGGCGAAACGTGCGCCCTGAAGTGCACTGCTAGCATCACTTTATATGTTCCTTAACTTGTTGGAATTTATTGACTTTATCACAACTAATTGCTATGGAGTTTCGGTCTATTTACATAACAGACACACAAGCAATGGAAGCCATCGGAATGTTCAAAACAGTCAGTCAAAACGTAGAACCAGTGAGTATGTACAACTTGCTTAATTTGCTACACCCCATTAGCACAAAGATGTCAGGCCAAATCACAATAGTAGGGGTATTAAGAGTATCAGTGGTAATAGAGAAGATTGGGCATCAAAAAAATACAAATTGGTAAGGTAAAAACAAAAAATGGGACATAAGGAATTTAGAATTCGGGGGGACACAAAAAATGGATGCACTTAGGCCATTGCGAACGATTTAGAAACATATCACTCAAGGTCCCTAACCACTTGTTACGATAATCAAGAGGACCCCAACCAGGTAATCTACACCTATGAACATAACTCGGTCCAATTGTCAACGACTTCATGGACTGATGCTACGTTCTGGTTTGGCCGTCCCATACCATCCTATACCAGTAAACACCGCCCGTCGAGGAAGGCGGTGATTGGGCATACCTAACACATGTCTCAACCACAGCTGATGAAGACTTACTAACTCTTCACTAGATTCCCTATCCTTATCTAGTACCCTATTCCTAGTCCATGCATTGTCTACTCCGTGGTCCAAAACACAAGAGCAATGCATCGTAGATGCCTATGATCGAATATCAGTAAACTACGAATATCCTATATCCCCAGTGGCCATGTTTCAGATCTATAAAATAGGACGAAGCAAACTCGTTTTCTGGTTAGAAGACGGATATCTTGCAAAAGCCAATCGAGCTTTCTGAATCCATGCCAAAATCTCGTTAGTCACCAGACCATCAATACTGATGAGACTACCGAGATAAGTGAAGTAGTCGACACGGTCAAACTCTTTACTCTTTATCATCAATTCAGGTGATGGTCCAAGTCAATCCCGAAGTAACATTTCACATTTAGACGGAGAGAACCGCATCCCAAACATGCTTGAATTGTTGATTGCGGTGGTCAGAAGACTGCATTTTGCCAGCGTTTTCACTAAAAAGAACTAAATCATCTGCACATTTAAACAAGTGGATCTCCACGTAAACGATGTGTTGAGTCTGATCATCTCGGGTTTACTATTTACGAGCTTAAATCAGACATCAGTATTATTGAGACTAATATTTTTTTAGTTAAACTGGTTCCTCTATGACTGTCACAAGAGGGTCTTTGTTTTTTATTATAGACTAGTGATTGGCACAAATCGGGTGAGACTGTGTTCAGTTCCCAAATTTTAGCTAAGATTCCAGTTATTCTGGCTGCTAAAAACTGGACTATCAACCTTAATAATCTCAGAAATTAGTCTACCAAGCCCTGTTGCTTTGGATTACTTATGGCCTTTTCAAACTCAATAACAGTTGGAGGATTTACACCAGTCTGCCACTCAGGTTGCTTGGGGATAGCGGGTAACGAAAGCGTGGATGAAGGTTAGTTGAATCAAAGTGTTCTGCCTCCGCTCTTTATTGTGTTCAGAGTTAGACGGTATTAAGTTTCTGAACATCAGTTAATAGATGCTGCTGAAATCCATTGATTTTTCATAACCCTTCGGTAGATATCACTGAAGTTTTCACAACTTTTTGGATATCATCCCAAGCTACCTTATGTTTGACTAACTCCTTTAGTTGTTTCTAAAATATATTCCTGACTTTTTATAATTAAGTTGAACTCGAAGGGCTTTTTATGTGTGGACTTTCTACGTCCAGCAAGATGCAGACAAATACGTACTCGAACTAGAGCAAAATCTGAGTTTATATGTGCCGCAGACTAGGTAGAAGTCTTCAATCGAGCCCCTGGTTAGTGGCTATGTGATCTATGAGTCCATCAACGAGTTGATTGTGAGGATAGCCACGTCAGACGCTGTTTCTCCTTATGCTTAAAGTTATTTACAAGAAATAGACAGTTATCTGAGCGACAGATAACCATCATTATCTGTTGACTGAGCTACAACACTGGAAGATCCACCCAAGTGACTTTCGGTTTGGTTAATCTTACCTATGTGATTATTAAAATCATCTGCCATTATAACTACGCTAGAGCGTCTAGCTTTTTGAAGGTTAGACAGCTCCCCATAGGATCCATCTTTAATTTTATCTGAGCTGCAATCAGTGGGAGCGTAGGCAAAATAGCTCGGATGAGCCACCACTGAGTCAAGGTGACAGCTACGATCGGGAATAATCAAGCGAAACCAACCGGAGTTTCGCGTTGGCTCGATTTTACATTTTGATGAATACTTATCAGATACTTAGCAAGTGGGTTTCATTAAGACAAGGTCGCTGAGACTTGAAAAGTACTTGTGAAGACGTGCTACCTGTATTTGCTTTATTCTCAATTTTACACAAATGCACCAGTTTGTTTGTGATCTTAAGACGACTAGTCGGGAAAAACACAAGGTATCTCAGACTCTCGTACTTGTTCAATTATTAAATGGATAACCACAACATGGGAGCCAAAAAACTTTCCAAGAAACTTACCTTGTAGATCGAAAAGTCCAAGCGGACATAAATAATTACAGCACCGAATATACATAAGAAAGCTAAAATCAGCATCATAGGTTCTCGGAGGAGCATTGGCAGAAAGAAGCGATAATTCACCTAGGTATTAAAAATATATCATTAGGTTTTTATAAAATGGCTGAATAATTATTGTACAATTAACGACACAGTTCATGCACACCCAAGCTTTTGCTTTGACACACACGAGATAATTAAGCTCTAATACATTGATTTTGGATAATCCAAGGGTGACTACAAGTAAACTGTCAAGAATTCAAGTCTATAAAATCTGGGGATTGCATTGTACAGTGATATATTGGTTTGAAAATGGTTTTGTAGTAGTCAATGCAGAATCCTTTGACACGTTAGACAATCAGGTATAACTAAGAGTAAAACTCAAATTACCTTTCTCCATCGCGAAAACGACCCAGGATGTCGACCACACAGCACTTCAATTGCTGTCTGGTCGCTACTATAGTGTATACAAATCTTAAGAACACTTATCTAGGTAAATCACTGTTACTTCAAAATACGTCTAGAACAAAAATGAAAATCTCGTCTGAATTACCTAGCACAAACAAAAATACAGCTAAGATGCAAAGGAAACGACAACAATAATACAGGAACTACGTACATTTGCACTCATTTCACGAGCCACTAAATTCCCTGGTACGTTCGAGTGGGAAGTCAGCTTTCCCTATTCAAGTGCTCTCACATGGTCACGCGTATACAGCTATTGACAGGGAAGTCCTGCTCACTGTCTCCTCGTGGCGGGGGTGTTACTTGGGAAATTAAGAGGACGAAAAACGAATGTCCAGTGCTTTAACCGAGTTGGCTGATACGGAGGAACCACCTAGGGGAGTTGGAAAACCCTGACTCTAAACCAATGGTCCACATGGACTCCAAGATCCTGAGGGAACAAAAGGCTTACGAACCTATTCTTAGGCACTGGATACTATGGGACTGCATTTCCCTACGTTGCTTCAATGACTTTTAAATTAGACCTTTAGGTCAAAGGCTCGTGGAGTTGCCCCCTAAGGAAACTGCATGTCTCGGTTTGGGTGCTCAAGCAGTACCCCAGAACTCGCACGCAAAACATTCGATTTGTGGTGAATATATTTGATGCCTTCTTGTACCAACGTTTGTTTAAATAAATAAATAAAAATACTCATTTGGAGAACGTGAATATTCGTGAGAAGAGAACTGTCCTTATACATATAGATATACATACATACACACAAGTTTTTACCTTGAAATCTTGAATGTGTTCATCGACAAGATTTGCAGCTTTGCAGACAATAACGGTTCGGCCTGATGTGTCTAAGTATGTTTTCAAATTTTCAAAATGCTGTTCATGAACTGGAAAAGGTGTTTCGAACTGAATATCGTCAGAGGTCTCGGGGAGAACAATTTTCAGCGTTAAGTTGCGAATGAATTGATCCTTGTAAACACGGTCAATGAACGGCATTACAAGAACAAACTTAGAACCTAGTGAAAGTAATCAGACAATTAGAAGCCAGTTTGAAAGGAGTAATTACATTATTGTGGAGTTGTCCACGGAATAAACTGAACTTTAATGACAGACACAATAGCAGATCCAATTGCTTTAATACAATAATATTGATGTGTATATAGATGCAGTTTATCTCTTGGAAAAGATGACTATTTAGACTGGCAAGCGCAACCACACTTGCATAATCCCCCTAAGAAAACCACTTGCTTCGGTCTGGGTACCCTGGCAGTATTACAGCCCACACACAAATCAAGTGACTTGTGGCGCATATGTACTCGGAGTCTCTTTGTACCAATGGTTGTGCACAAATAATTAATCCACTTCAAATATCTCCATGTGGATTTGATGGACAACTAAGCACTATTTTATAATAACGATGCTGAGACCTACGCATATGAGCAACAAACTTACCACTGTGATAGAGGAACTCATAGGCTGGGATGTTGTATCCTATTGTGTAGCGCGTTTTCCATCCACCCATCAACGGGAAGCGCGGAACGAGAGTCACCTCCACGGAATCTAGCAGGTTTTTGACTGTGCTTGTGCTTATATTGCCAATCTCATCGCGATAGTAAATGTCCTTTGCAGATGGTGGTAGAACTGTCTTAAGGGAGTTGACTGCTACCTGTTGTCCAACTCCATAATCAAAATCCAAACGAGAAAACGAACCACGCAACTTCGCACCCGTGTTCACGATTTCAAGCGTTTCTTCAACAGCAATATTTCCCCAATGCGATACTTCGATGAGACGAGTCATATCAGTGACCGTCAGGAATGGAACGTAATACTCGAAATGTAGGACAAGTGGCTCCTAACAACTTATTAGTGATAATAAAAACTCACCGTCGAGAAGGCTGGACGGCTTTCGTAAGTACCATAGACTAAATTATTTCCATTTATGACAGGTGGGATTGACGTAGCAGTGTGAGTTAGAAGTTGACCCTTTGGCAAGTGAATGTACGTTAGCTGATTGTCAGTCAGATACGGGGAATAAAAGTAAGCATTGCCACTAAACTTGACGAACTGCTTATCAGCTTGATAAATCTCAGCAGGTCTTGGTTCTAACAATTCAGTTAATACAATGTCCACAAACAAATGAATTTTTTCGGTCGACGGTTTTCCAAGATCTATAGAGTACGTATAAGGCATGCCGGTTGTTGGCTTTACAGGGACTTTCCGCGATGACTTCAGGTCTCCACACTGAAGTGTCAAAGTATGAAAGTAATCCTAATTACCGATGCACCGATGAAGGACAGATGTTTCCATTCTCTTTCTTCAATGACAAGTTGGTACTTAGCAGGTGTTTCACTCAGTAGAATATCATGATGTATCTTTACAATGTTTCCTTTAAAGCGTATCGTACGAGTCACATTGGTGTTTTTCAAGCCTAGAACAGGTACTACCAACAACAAGAAAACGAACAGCATCAGTAACTGAGAATTAACACTCAGTGAACAACTGACTGAGGTGGATGCATACAAACGAATATTCAAGATCAAATGTCCAATATTTTAGTGGAGAAAGAATATAAACTAATCGATTGTTTCGAACTCTCACCTCAATACTTAAGTACAGCTCCAAGTACTAAGAAGTGTCTAGCAATCAAAGACAGCAGTTTAGCCGTCAAACTGAACTGATCATATTGAACTCAACCGTTATTTTCCGTTTGTGTGTCTTGAGTACGGGTAGATTCGTTTTCCCCATGAAAACAGCGATTATGTAACCAGTGGTCACCATCTAATGCAAACCTGCGAAGGTTAGACCCAAAAACGTTAAGAGTAGCCAAGCGGAATTTCATGGTTTAATGTAGCTAAGGGTTTTGAGGCTATAGCGATAAATAAATAGACAAAATCAGTAGCTCTGTAAGCCTTCCACATTTTGGTGCTGACCGCATTACTTTAGCTAGACTTACTCAGCTGAATGTGCTTGGCTCCTCATCCTCAACAGAGGATGAGTGGGTACGCCATGCTGCACATCAACAACCGCTAGCCACTGCCCCATATATCGATGGTCTACCTAATATATCTCCCGACTCCTTCAGTCATTATTTCCGATTTGACCATGTTGACACACTTCGATTGTAAAAGTGTTACTGGTTAAAGCTTTCAACAACAAAACAATGGCTGACAGATATCCGATACCATACATCCACAACTTTGCTGATGGCATGGAATATGCCGCCAATTTTTCGAAGACTGACCTGGTTAGACCTTATTATCATATTCCCATCTTCTCATAAGACATATCAAAAACAGCATTAACTACGCCATTCAGTTTGTATAAATTTTGGCTCGCCGGATTGGCTAACGGAGCACAAACGTTTCAGCGATTCATTGACCATGTCATAAAAGGTATGGCAGTATATGCATATACCGGGGCTTTGCCAGTATCCAAAGCCACGGGGGTGATCAGCTTCCACAACTGAGACAGTTATTCAAGAAACGTCATGAGCGTAACATCTCTATGAGCGTTGAGAAATATGGATTCGGAAGAGAATTCCTCCAATTCACAGGTCGAAAGGTAACTTATCAAGGCACCAGACCAGTTCCCGCAGAATTTACTGCTATCCGCGACTATCCGTTACAGACATTTTAGAACTCCAAGTGAGCTATAAACGAAAAGATGATGCTGGTTCGGTGAAAGAAAGAAACGCCACTAGCCATCATAACTGGTGCATCGATCGTGGAAGTGACAGCCGTATTTCAGCCTTTAGTATATAGCACACCGGAACCACTTTCATTTTTCTCAAAGAGACTGAATCCTACGTGGACGAGAAATGGTAAGTTCAAAAGAGAATTGCCAACGATTTACATGTCAATAAAGCATTTCCGACAAACGGTGGAAGGTACAATCTTTATTGTGTACACATATCATAAACCTGTTGCGAAAGTATTAAATGCCAATCAAGACAATTATTCACCAAGGGGAATTTGATACAGAATCTTCTAGTTTGTTCAGTGTAAAATATGTTAAAGACGACTATAACAAAATATAGGCCACGTTTCCTAGAAAACGATAAACGCACCCACTCCAGACGGAATCGTCTGTCGCACTGTAGCTGAACTGCAAAATGGCGGATGTTGAATTAAGGTTAAGATCCAGTAATAAAACTTCTTTGTTGTTTGCAGACGTTCAGTTAAGTATAGTGAAAGTTAAAACACGAAGTTCAGCGAGGGGATCTCTTTTCAACAAATTTACATGTGATATGTCTATAGGCCGTCGACGGCCGATAATCTCGTGTTGAATAATACGAAAAATCTCGTAATATATGAATAATATAATGCATCCTGAAATATAAATCGTAATCAGACTTTTCGACAAACGTTTCGTATGGCTCAACATGAGTCGTAATGTAATGTAATGTAATCGGACACAGTCATCAATGAAATGTCAGAACCGATCGTTCTGTGATAGGTTTTCCCATCACCCCGACACTAAATTTGAACATAAACACATGCATACATGAGATTATTGCCCGAATTCGAATGGCTAAAACTGTATTTTTGCCTGCATCGGTAGATTTAAGCAGTGGCCTGTAGCAGTGTCAATAAAGGACACCCAGACTGGGACTGTAGATAAAACCTTAGTTGGCAGTTGGGTCTTTCGTTATGGAGTGCCAGCAAATACTACAACAGATAGATGAGCTCGAATCAAAAGTTCCCTATTCCGGCAGCTCACAGAACTTATCGTTATCTTTCCACCTCATGGCGAATGTTATGGTTAAGAGACTGTGTCGGTAATGAAAAGCCTTTCTCAGGACTATCCTTGTCAATGATGATTGGGCCAATAAGTCTCTTCTGGTCATGATATGTTTGAGAACATCAATAAATCGGGACATCGTATGTTGTCCTGAATGGTCGGCCTATGGAAATACTTTATGTTTACCCGTAGAATATTCCGCTCAAAATAAAAGCACTTTGAACGATGTGGTTAACTATGTACAACATATAAAAAAGCGCGTGAACAATTAGAAAGTAACACTGTCAAGACTAAAGTGACAACAACTATATGTACTGTAGGAACTGCAATAATAGCGTTCATCATAACAGATAATATACAATCTCCTTCGCAGCTGAATTATGGCGGTTCATTTAAAGTGATTGGGAGCGATGATAAGACGGTTAGTATGGAAAAAGCTGGTAAAACGGACCCAATTAGTATCGACGGAGGTAAATCAGCCTTCATTGAAAGTGATCATCAATGGACGAACGCAGATCCCTCAGAAACCGTCACATCACCGGGACGTGAAATTCAGCTGTTAACGACGGGGATTAAGAAGCGACTCCAGTAACGATGTGGTGTGGTCGAAGACTTAAGTGGTCGCAACGGCAAATAACCACGATTTTGAATTAAAATTACCACTCACTGTTTTTAATATCGATGATTTTAATTCCTCTTAGTCTTACACGCGCACATCGTAAACCTTACATTGTTTATCATGAAATTCATCATATTTCGTATACTTCGATGCTTATATATATAATCCTTTAGAAACTCTACCATATGATTTTGATCCTCTATCATTATTTAATCTGGCCTGACGTGCACACGAGAACTCAGACATACAAGTACAAATAACAGCTTACATGATATTTCTATCCTGCACGTTAATTTGAATAACCCAATGTTTTCTGCATATCAAGACTATTTTGTCCAGTTCAACACCATTTGTAGATACAGCCATTTTTTGAGTCTTGATTTACAAGGAGGAGATATTACTGCGTCACACCTACGCTTAGGTCTGTTTACGTCTAATATGTTCAAGCCCTTAAAGTAACTTGTCTGTGTTGTTCAAACATTAACAATTAATCTGTTATTATTGTGCCTGAATGACCACGTGATACAGTTTACACACATATTCATGTTTCTAGCTTCAATGTTAGTCACTTAAACCGCTTGATGATATATATATATATATCCTGAAATCTTATCAGTTCATACTACTCTAAATTCGCTTATGTATTCGCTTGTTTTCATTTACTTGCATTCTCATTGATACTCGTACTCACGTTATCTGCTTGGAGCCTAATGATCTGCGTTGTACAATGACAAACTGTGATCAACGCTTCATATTGTTTTCTGAAATTCATACACTGTTGGTTTTTATCTAATAACGGTTATAAGAACGAATAACATACTAAGCAGTAAGAATTAAATTGATGATATTCTACTACGCATTGATCTCTGGACAGCCTGACAAACATCACCTAGGTTAAAAATGACTAACAAGGACTAACCATGTATATGCCATTGACTGGCAGATGTTGTAAACGACGCATCCCCTGCAACACACTCTTGCCATTAAATTTATTCAGTGGCCCCATGTTTGTTCTGTACGATCATCAAAGTAGCCAGAACACCTGGATATCATGTGAGGGTGATCCACGCTAAATATTAATCGCGAAATGTGACTTTGTAACAACATAGAGTGACTGGTTAGGAGCCAACTACGAATATCCAGGTAAATGTCAGAAAATTATAGCCCAAGTGCTCATCCACTTCCTCGTTTTCACAGGGATTATATTTCCTATTATTTTATTTTGAATGTTGAAAAGGTTTATGTGTTTGATAAGGTAACCTAGAGTTCCGTCACACCTTCTAGGAGTTCAAAATAGGGACCTGTTTACTAGTAGTTCGGTTCCAACCATCGGTAGAACGAGGGATACTCACTGGTAAGAGAAATTCAACCTGATCTACGAAGCCACACTATTTTCATCCAACTCAAGCAGATCCCTGACATCCATATAGATCATTCATATTGGGAACTTACCAGTGCTAAACGCCTCCCAACATATCAACCGTAAGTGTTTAGTTGTCTACTTTTGGCACGGAAATCTTAATGTTTTACAATATTTCAGAATCAAAAGCTCTGGATTTCCAGTAACTTACTTGATACAAAACTCTTTCACATGGAACGGGTTACTGTTATTTTGTATTCAAATTTTGTTACTCGTCACGCGTGAGACTGAAAGTCTGTAACTGATTAATAGCTGCAAGGTTGAATATCATCAATTTCACTGTGTTTTGGATATTATTCTTTTCTCAAGCTTTGGGAGCGTTTATTGTTACCTTGAATCTTCTTTTGAGAACACGACTGATACCGAATTCACGGATTATCTTGAAATTTCTTTCCCTTCTCTATAAATATATCTTCTTAACAGCACGGAATCACGTTTTGCTGGTAAATTAGAATAACCTCAATTCCCTACCTGAACTGGACATGTCATCTGGCGCAACTACCAACGGAAGCACGTGGCTAATTAGTGAGTTTCCTGTTCATCCAGTATATATTTAAATGCCTGATAACACTGCTGTAGAACCCACTTATTTTTGGAAAATCTATGTAAAAACGTGCTTATACTTTCTTACAAACCATACCATATACGTATTTCTTCGCAATTAAATCCCTTATTTTTTCTACATATCATCCTGGAAACATGAAAATCACATAATATGATCATTGT